TGCTACTGTCGCTGGTGCTGCTACCACCGCCGCCGTCACCGCCACCGCCGCTTCCACCGCTGTCCTCGTCAAGCACCTCAACTTCAACGCCGAGACTTTTACCTTAGATAAACGCGTGCTGCTTTCGTACTCGTACGCGTGTATATGCATCTCGACGTGTACGTATCTTAACGGACTAGTGATCCCAGAACGTGTTGCGTCCTAGCTAGCAATACAAGTGGGTGTGGGTTTCGTTCGTATGACTGGCGTGTATGCATGCGCGTGTGTCGCGTCTATGTGCCGTGCCGTATGTAATTGCGCTCGCGCGCACTATGGCCATATACGATCGCTCGTTTGTGTGTACATTCGTGTAAGGATGGTAAGTATCGAAAAAGTCAGACTCGAATGGAAGAAATTGTCTACGAAGCATGTCACGAGAATTTATTTCGCTCGTTTTTTTTTCCATTTTTTCTTTTTGCTATTTTTTTTATTTAAATCAAAACTCGCAAAAAATTTCTCTTCAATTATTCATTTTCATAGTCGTTGATTTCGCTCACTAGTCAACCTAACCCCACATTTTACTCATTCTCTGTCACGAGCACACCTCGAGGCTAGTTGGGGAGCGCGTTTCTCGTTGACGTATCGTGCCACTATCCAAACTATATACATACATACAATGAACAAAGTAGCGTATATATTTCGTGGAGTGTTCAACACCGACCAACATACGCGAAACCGATATGGCTGTAAAAAACGAGGGATCGACATTCACTCATCGAAACAATGCATATAACAATCATATCATTTGCCAATATTTACGTGTGATCAAGATCATTTTCGGACTATAGATATCAGTAAATTTTTTTTTCTAATTAAAATATTTTAATTTTTTTTTATCTATAAACCTTTATTCTTTTCACTGCAAATTAATTGCATTTTTCGATGTATGAAATTTTTCTTAATTTAAATCTATAAAGAATTACTATTATAATATCTTATTGATCGATTAATAGTCATGAATAATATTTCTCTGTTTCTATCCTCTATGAAGCTGTCACTCTTTCTTTTCTTTAAACATATTATTTTTTCGTTATAATTTTTTTCCTCTATACTCTGATTTTATTTATTTATTTTGAAAGAATTGATTTTTTGACATTTTGATTCAAGAGCATGAAAAGTTAATATTGCAGCAATAATAATCGATTCGATTAGACATCACTCGTAGAACTTTACGCAATTCGTTCGAATGATATTACAAATATTGATCATTTCTAACAATCCCTTTGTACTTTCACGATCATGTTCACGATTATCAAGATATTCATCGTTTACGTTAACTTCGAGCATTGTTCTTTGAATGATTGCTCTGTTTCGTAAGAAACAAACACGCTTGATATGTGAAAACTTGGCATTTTGTTGTTATTCGTGTTCCAATTTTCTTTCCGTGTTCATGATATGTATATGTATTAATTAAGTATTACCGATTGCCAAATACATATGTTCATCGTTATTATCATCATAGATTACACGACTTAGTGTTACATTTTATATTTGCTGTTCTTTTCTAGATTTCACAAGTTATGCTTAATTCGAAAGAACTATACAAACTTGTCTTTAATAAACTACTCCGCAAATAGGGATGGATAGCAATAGATAAAAGAGAAGGGGGATATGAGTGTTAGTTGTTACACGTTAGCCAACGATTTATTCTTGGATTACATTATGGAACCCTGGTTCATGCGTTTATGTAATAGTCTTGATCCGTGGTACAATCAATGGAAAAGCAAAACAAAACAAAACAAAAGAAGAGAGAAACTTTTCTCGTAATTTGTCAAATTACAAAGCCAAAATAGAATAATTAAATTTTCGAAGTAAAAGCGATTATGTATAACGATTATAGAGGGAGCGGCGGTTGGTTTAAGAAGTTTCAAACTAGTTTGACGATTCAGATTTTATGTGCGTGATTCGACTTATAGTTATATGGTTAAAATCTAAAATTCAATTTCGCTTAACGCTTCATACAATCTATATATTTTCGATTATCAATATTTTTCTTAACTTTACTTTTGATTCTTTCGTCGAATAAGTTTAACGCATTGTATGATTTCTGTCATAGCCATGGATATTTACAGATATCGCGCGCATATTTTATAACCGATTCAAATAGTTCAACACAAATGCACGCGTTTTTTTTTCCATCGCAAAATTTCCAATTGAAGTTTTTTTCAATTTCTTCAAATAATTTGCTCATTTTCAATGTTTCTATTATTAATTTGAAATATCTTACAGGTGTTGACTAAATATTAAAAGTATATTCAAAACATCTGTTTCATCGTCATTCGGAATCTCACTGTTAATGAGTTAATAAGTTAAAAACCATTTTTTAACTTATGTATAATTGAAACGATCTTGATTATTTAATCATAAAAAATTTAACGTATATTCTGATTTTTTCTAAAAAAAAAAAGCAAAATTTCTCTTTGTTATAGTAATATCTATTTTTCTCTATTTATAATAATATATTGGCCTATGTTTTTATCTCATAAAGAAATTGACTAAAAACAAAAATATAACAATATTCTTATTTAATGTTTTGTGCCTTAATGTGTGTAGCGATGTTAAAATAGTTTCGCATTGATCAATTCCAAGGCAGGCAGCATCTTTTCTTATAATCTTGTTTCTTGATTATGATTATTATTTAATCGAATCAAACATTGATCAATTGGTTTTACGAATTGATTTATATCATCATATAGCAAAGATAATGTTTTAAATAAATTAATAATTTTGGTGTTGAGGAACAATTTTTGCCAATTTTATTCTACTCGAAGAATTTACATTAGAGTATTTGAATAAATGCGCATTGAAATTGAGACA